AGTTGGGCAAGTCAGGCAAGGTGGCAAAGGAAGGAAGGGGTAAGTTTTGAGCTGGATTTTTTTTTTTTTTTTTTTTACTAATCACAACTTTTGGTTCATGCTATGCTGTCATCATTGGTCAAGGCATGGATGCTTTTCTTTCACTGGAGCTGAGATTTACAGGATAGAGAGAAAATTCCAAAGGAGAGAGCTTGGTGTGGTGGCCTTAGCCTTAGTTTCTTTATCTATAATGAGTATAGCCTCTGTCTTACCTAGCAGAGCTCTTGTGAATGAGAGAGAAGATGTTTGATGTGAAAGCTTGGGCAAAGAGTGGAACAGAGGCACGAGAATTGTTAGTCCAATTTGATTTAACCAACATCTGCAGAATATCAGGAGCAAGGCCCTGAGAGCAATTCAAGGGAGATACACCTGGTGTACGGTAAAGGCTTGGTGTATAGGTTGAAAAAAGACAGATGGGAAAAAAAAAAGCTCTCTGTTTCCTCTTGAGACTCATAATGTGATGAGGGGTTCTTGCAGAGGCTACACTCACATGAGGACCCAACATAGGGACTGTTGAAGTGAGAGTCATAGCTTCAGATCCAGGAAGAATCATGAGGTCTCAGGATTTTCCTGTTTTGTAGAATATTAAAGCCAAACTGAATTTAATAATCTGGTACTTATACATCCTATAGTTGGGGAGACTGAGATCCAGAGGGGAATTGGCTTTTTTTTTTCTAAAGATTTTATTTATTTATTTGAGAGAGAGAGAGTGCATGAGCAAAGGGGAGAGTCAGAGAGAGAGGGAAAAGCAAGCTCCCCTGCTGAGCAGGGAGCCCATTGGGGGCTCATTCCCAGGTTCCTGGGATCAGGACCTGAGCCGAAGGCAGACACTTAACCCACTGAGCCACCCAGGTGCCCTGGGAACTAGTTTTTCTGATGTTAATCATGATTTTGGGGGCAGAGAGAGGAAACCAAAATGTTCCTCCTGGGCACACTTTTATTGAGTACCAGCTTTTTATCCCCTCTCATGCTGTTTCTCTCTCTCTCTCTCTCAAATAAATAAATAAATAAATAAAATCTTCAAAATGTTCCTCCTGTTATCTAGGCCATGGCTTTGGTTCCCAGATACCGTTTATTTTTATTTTTGTTTTAATTGTGGTAAAATACACAGAACATAAAGTTTATCTTCTTCACCATTTTTAAAAAAGATTTTATTTATTTATTTTGAGAGAGAGGAAGAGAGTGAGCATGAACTGGGAGGAGGGGCAGAGGCAGAGGGAGAAGCTGACTCCCCACTGAGCAGGAAGCAGACATGGGGCTCATCCCAGGACCCCGGGATCATGACCTGAGCCAAAGCAGACACTTAACCAACTGAGCCACCCAGGCGCCCCTTCTTCGCCATTTTTAAGTGCATAGTTCAGTCATGTTAGGTACATTCACATTGTTTTACAACCAATCTTTAAATACTGAACTATATCCTTTAAACAATTCCCTATCCTCTCCTGGCAACCACTATCCTACTTTCTGTCTCTCTGAATTTCACTACTTTAGGTACCTCATATAAGTAGAATCATATAGTATTTATCTTTTGTGATCAACTTATTTTACTTAGCAAAATGTCCTCAAAGTTCATCCATGTTGTAGCATGTAGAATTTTCTTCCTTTTTAAGGTGGAATAATATTCCACTGTATGTATATACCACATTTTGTTTATTCATTTGTCTTTCCATTCAGATTCTACCTTTTGGCTATTGTGAACAGTGCTGCTATGAACATGGGTGTACAAATATATCTTTGAGACCCTGTTTTTCAATTTTTTTTTTAAGATTTTATTTATTTATTTGACAGAGACAGAGATAGCGAGAGCAGGAACACAAGCAGGAGGAGTGGGAGAGGGAGAGTAGGCTTCCCGCTGAGGAGGGAGCCCGATGTGGGACTCGATCCCAGGACCCTGGGATCATGACCTGAGCCGAAGGCAGACACCTAACGACTGAGCCACCCAGGCGCCCTGTTTTCAATTTTTTTGAGTGTATATCCAGAAGTGGAATTGCTGGATCATATGCTAATTCTTTTTCTTCCTTTCTTTCTTCCTTTCTTCCTTTCTTTTCTTTCTTTCTTTCGTTCTCTCTCTTTCTTTCTCTTTCTTTCTTCCTTCCTTCCTTCCTTCCTTCCTCTCTTTCTTTCTTTCTTTCTTTCTTTCTTTCTTCTTCTCTCTTCTTAAAATTAAGTAGGCTCCACACCCAATGTGGGGCTTGAACTCAGGACCCTGAGATCAAGAGTTGCATGCTCTACTGACTGAGCCAACCAGGCACCTCATATGCTAATTCTGTTATTAGTTCCCAGCCACCATTTTAGCCTCACAGGAAACACAACATGCTTTGACAGGTTCAAGTTCTTGGTGTGAATTGGTAACAGACCCTCACTTCCTGCCTTCAAGACCCAGGCTTTTTGTATCAAATGGGTTATGCACCCATACTCCCTAAAAAATCATGTGGTAGCTAAGAGAAATAACGCAGTCAAGTTTAAAGGAAGTTAAACATGTTTTACTTTCTTTTTTTCTGGGGTATTCTTTTAGACAAATGAGTGAGTAGGCAAGTTGGCTTAGGTAGAAGCGACAAGCTAGCAATCTGAGTGATTAATTTACACTGCAAATGTGTTTATATGGTCCATACAGGGCTTTTACTTTTATTTATTTATTTATGTTCTTTAAGACTTTTTTTTTTTTTTTTTGGTCAGAGAGAGAGAAAGCACAAGCAGGAAGAGGGAGAAGCAGGCTCCCTGCTGAGCAAGGAGCCCAATGTGGGACTCAGTCCCAGGACCCTGGGATCATGACATGAGCCGAAGGGAGACAAGCAACTGACTGAGCCACCTAGGTGTCCCAGGGCTTTTTACTTTTAATTAATTGCTAGTACTAAAAAAAGGGATATGTCATGCAAAAGTCCAGCTTTCCAACTTCTCTTAAAGATGATCCAGCAATACTGAGTCCACCTTTCTGCCTTTTCTCCATTGTGCCATAGTCCCCACCACTCCCTATTATTCACCTACTTCTCTCAATTGTGTTATCTGTCTACCAACTTTGCCATTTGAGCTTAAGGCCCCTGACTCAGAGCATATGTCTAGTAGAACCTAGGTCGGGTGCTCATCTTCTGTTCCGGCCAGTCTCCCAGCACAGAGTTGTTATTCAATAAATATTTTAGTGATCAAATGAATTAACTCATGTCTACCAACTTTTACTGAGCACTTACTTTGTGCTGGGCCTATGGCTGCATCCTCCTTTCTCAAAGATGAATAAGACACAACCCCCTGACCTTTGAAAACTCAATCTTATGGGGTGGAGGGAGGCGGACATCTGTATGGTCTAATTCTGGACCTGAGGCACTGGTCAGAAATGGGAGTTTCTGAGGAGGAGACCTTGAATTGTATCTGGAAGAAGGAAAGAGCAGCTACACGGGGAGCTGGAGGTAAAGGGGAGAGTGTTTCAGGCAGAAGCAACAGCAGATACAAAGGTGGGGTGGTGAAGGTTCAATGTGTTTGAGGAACTTAAAGAAGGCCAGTGTGCTTGGAGCTTGAGAGTGGGGAAGAGTGGTAGTAGATGACGTTAGAAGTGTATTTTTATATCAACAGCCTAACCCCTAAGCCAGGCAGCTGTTGAGCAAATCCATGTTCCTGGTCTTCAGAGGGCTCGCTCAGAACAGGTAGCTGGCTTAGCACTGTCAGTCAGAGGAGAGACTGCGCGTAATTCCTTCCCCTGCCTCCGGTGCCAAGGGCAGGGTAGGGCACAGAGCAGGTTTAAGTAAAGATCTGCTGACAGCATGCTCGAGAGAGAACAGGAAATGCAGGCTCTGTTGAAGGAGGCCCAGGTGCGGCTCTCTCTTCATTGGGGCACTCATTCTAAGTCGCCAACACCTCCTCCAAGCGACACAGAGCTGGGCGAGTGAGAGGCCGAGAGGAACCAGCCACAGGCCCTACCCACAAAAACCTCAAAGGGGAGGGGATTTGAGGGGCAGGTGGGAAAACGGGTTGTGACAGTTAAAGGAGGGCATCCGACTTTGCTTGAATGAGGCGGGGAGTCAGCAGATGGGCAGATGGGGTCCTTTAGCCGAGACTTAAGGGATGTGTAGGGCAATTTTAACTGTAGTGTTTTGGACGTTTCATTTTGTTACCTGGCATCATTTCCTCTGAAAACACTCGCAGTCCCGAATGGGTTGCCCCGGGGCGGATCCTTGCTTCACTCCCCAACCCCTCTGCAAAGGGGCAGGGCCTCCCAGGAGCTCGAGTCCTGTCTGCAGCACCCAGATTTGCCCGCCAGGGGCCACTGCGCGCGGGTGACTAAGCGCGCAGGTTCCTAAACTGCAGAGAGGAGGAAGCTGATTGGCTGCGCGGCGCGGCGGGAGGGCGGAGCCTGAAAGCCGGCCCGAAGTAGGTGGGCTGGGAGCGTGCCCCCGGCCCAACCCGGCCAGGCCGTTGTCGCTTCAGGCATCCCGGGATAGCAATCGTTGTGCCGGGGGCCTCTGTCCAGCCCGGCTCTAGAGCTGAGGCGAGTGGAGCAGCACCGAGGCCCGGAGATCCGGGCAGGGCAGTTACTGCCGCCGTCGCCGCAGGCCTGGGTTACCTGAGCTACTGCGTGTCCGGGGCGCGCCCGCCCATACGCGGGCGGTTAGAGCGGGAGAGACTCCCGTGGGGGAAGGGGAGGCCGGGACCCGACCCTTGGCGCGGGAGGGGGGTCCTGGCAGACAGTTGTGCGGACCCGGGCCGGGGAGAGCCCACTGCGGGCTGGGGGCACCCGGCGGCTGCCTCTAACAGGTTATTCCGGGATAAGCCCGGCTCTGGGGCGGGCCGGGCTTCGCTGGGGGCCGGGCGGCGCGGGGCGGGCCTGCAGGAG